TTTTAGTTCTTGAATAAAAGTCTCAGTGTGACATGTAAAGTACATGCAATAAGTTCTCATCTAGGAGCCTTCATAGATATGCACAGCTGCTCTCTGTCAAGATATAATGAACAATCAACAAAAGCGTCGCACAAAAAAATGAAGCCTGTTATAAATAGATTTAATGTATCTGTCCATAGTTTGAAGCACGGTGAAGTAAACAAATTGCTGAGACTTTTTCCTGCATGAACATGTAGTTATTAAGCTATATTTTATTAAATTCTTTTTAGTGAAGCTAAACAAAGAATGTTTATTAACAATAAAAGGGCTTATGATATTCAGGCATTTTGAAGACTAAAATCTTTTGTAAACAAATTCATATAATCACATGGTATTATATGGCTATAAAAAGACAGATGTGTCCAAAAAATAACTATGAATAAAGTTTGAGAACAAAAAACTCCTAAAATTTGAGGCCACCTGCCCTGATCGAGAGGGGGACATGTGCATTTGAAAAATATTTTTGTAATTTCTTAAACCAAATCGAAAATCATTGTGAAATTTCAAGTTTCTTTAAAAATTTTTATGCACTTTAGAAGTTATGATCATGTAAAATTAAAACCTCCTCATTTTTTGGAAGGGGGAGGGGGAATAAAACGTTTTTCAAATAGAATCTATACAAATATTTGGAGTGTTCCAAAATCAAACCTAAAAGGTCATTTTCTGACCTGTGATGAGCTTATTATCAATGTTTTTTTCAAATTGAAAGTTTTGAACGTGAGTTGTAATATTTTTTCAGTTCTCACTAATGTTGCTTTCTCATGACTAGTTTAATGGGCTAAATAGCCAAATAAGTATTTTTAGAGTAGAAAAAAGCAATGTTTTTTTTGTCCAATGCCTTGAATTGAGTTGAAGTTTTGCATAACACTGTTTCTGCCTTTATTAGTATTTCAATCATAGTTGATAGAGAATTCTATCAAGCTTTTATGTAAAGATGAAGCTCTATCTTGTGGCCAAATTAATGCTTTACTTTACTTAAAAAGACACTGGTTTTCTTGATAAATTTCAAAAGTTTTCTTGAATTCTCCTGCAGGTTATGAAAATCCATGTCTTTTAATTGCATTGGTGTGATTAATACAGAATTGTCTGATGACATCTACACAATGAATGTATTTTTATTCACAGCAGCTCTAACTTGTGTTGATCCAACAGTATCAACACAAGTTAGAGCTGCTATGTATGGCCAAAGTAATGCTAAATATTGTTTCAATCCTTGAAACAATATTTAGCATTACCAAAGCCAGCTAAATATTGTTTCAATCCTTTAACTATGTTGAAAAAAAATAAACATGAGCTATGAAGACACACAGGGTTTTTAAAGGCTAAGTTTTTCCTAGATGCTGGAAACTATTGTGTTTCTCTTGTTATTGTAATCATTGTGAACTAATTTCATTACATCATGTTCTGTTTTTAGAAGCTTTTATCCATCTTAAAATATTGATTGCTTTATATAATTATTTCTAGTGATTGCTCTCATAAATATCTGTTGCTAGGTGATGATATTTTAAAGACTTCTTTGATAAATTAAATCTTCAATTATCTCTTCATTTTGGTGGCTTTTTTTCAAAAAACGTTTTGAGCAGTTTATTGACATCAAGTTGTTTTGATCAGTTTATTGTTACGTGTCTTGAGACAATTTTTTTTATTTTCTCAAAATTGTTTCAAAAACTTGAGACAATGTTGTTGGAGAGTTGCCTATACAGAACAAGCCTAAGACTTTATAATTTTATTGCACTGCCCATATTTTCTCCTACCTGCATTTTTGCGTTTTCTAGCATATTCCTGTACAGTTGAGTTTGAGCTAAAAGCAACAGCAATATTTTGATGTCAAAAGGTCTATTTAATGGTTTACTTTGATAATTTACAGAATGAATATTCAAAATAACTCACTGCATGGTAAATAGTAAATGACCGGGCTTGATATTTGACCAAAGCCAGGGCTGGGGTCAGGTTTGATAAAATGTAGCCGGGGCCGGGGCCGTGGCCGTGTTTGTGACTGGGGCTGCATAAAAATTTATACATCCTAGTATATAAGTATATTTTTTAAATTTAAAATTCATGTTATATTTTAAAGATATATCTATATATAAACATCATTATGATCAACATGATCATAATGATGTTTATACTAAATTTTAGCTTTCCTCTTTTATGCTGTTTCTCTAATATAAACAATCTAGAGCATTTTTATTCTTATCTAAAGCTCATTCATACATTATATAAGGCACTCTCTTCAAGTTTTCTTACTTTTACTACTTCCATTTTCTACTGAAGATGCTTCATCCTCTATACATGCTTATACCTAAATTACTTTAATCTTTTCTAAAAAACGTTGTTCGATACAATGTTTCTTCTAATCTGTCTAAGATTATGCCTCCTTTTCTTGTCTTGTTAGACTCACACTACACATCCATCTGATCTTCTTCTCCTTTGGCAAATACTACACCATATAAACACTAAAGTTTATATAAATGTGAAATGATATTGTATGCCAGCATCTAAATAAATAGCAAACATTAATGTTTATGTCCTTAATACGTATACATCTTTATGTCCATAATATGTATGCATATAATAAAGCTCATCTCAGAAGCTTTTATTCCTTCAGGACTAAAAGTTTGGAAGCTTTTATTTATACTCTTCAATTTTAAGTAAAACCTCATTCTACTTCATATTTTTCATCATCTTAAGCAGTTGCTTTATTGGTTATTTATTTCATCTTTTTTACAAAACATCTCTCTTAAGAACAAATGTACTTTTATTATTCCAAGAAGTTAATGTAAAAAGGTCCTGTCTGATGTTAAGCTCTGTTATTCTAATTTTACTAAACCTTTTATCTTATATCAGAAGTTAGGTTCTAGAGACTTTTGGTTAGTTTCAACAATGTCGTTAACTAAAAAAAGTCTAACATTTAATCTTATTAATTATATAATATTTAATTTTCAAAAAGTGCCTAATATGTGGTTCCATTTTTTCAAAACTCTAGAAAACACTTTGACCTCTCCAATTATTGTATGATTAGTCTTTACTCTTTTATTAGTTTCTTTATATAAAGGTTTTGAGATTATTAAATTATTTCTTACTAACTGCAGAAATAAAGTTATTTTTGAAGGCCTATACTCTTCTTTATTTCAAGTAACTTTAAGGGTACCACAAGGTATCTTGTACCCTTAAATCTTTGCTCCTGTATTCTTCCTTATCTACAATATCAATCTTCATGCAAATTTAACATCTAAATTTTTAGATGTTAAAGGTTTTATTTGTTGACAACTCAACTTTATAAATCTTCACTTTTTGATTGCTTAGAACAAACAGTTGATTTTTAATCTGATCTCTCTTTTGTAACAACTAAAGCTTATAAAGCCACAGCAAGGCTTATAGATTGAAATTCTGGACTTAAAATCCGCAATTTTTGTTAGAAAACAAAACTCATTTATTTACTGCAAAAACATATTGTAATAATCTTGGTATTCCTATATTGATAAATAACAACCCAATTACTCTCAAACAAAGTCTAAAAGCATATTGTATATGTAATGCGGTCATGATGTAGTGGTAGACTGCTCGCGTCATAAGCGAGAGGTACCGAGTTCGATCCCCATAAGCGATCCCGTCATAAGCGAGAGTTACCGAGTTCGATCCCCACTCTTTCTCTGGTAGTACCACATTCAACTTGTTTCTCTGCGCAGCGACCTTGATTGTCAAGGTTTGTGTTTCGGAGTTATATAGTTGAGAAAGGGTGCTAACCACAATTAAGTAGCCTCCTTGTCTGTAATAGCGTTTTCAGCCTTGGGGAGGTGAACTAACATAAAAAAAAAACAATAATAATAAATTAGACCTGCTTTATCTGCCAAGCTTGACCACTCTCTCATTGTTGTAAGGTTGCATTTCTTTCTTTTATCTACAAATGCAATCATGGTCAATACTCAAACAAGCTATCATCTCTAATACGATAAAGCAAAACTCATACTTGCTTGTTTCTTATTTAACAAGTTGGATCCTTTTACTGTATATGTCCCTTCATGCTATAAAAACTTTTATTATTCCAGTTTTTTCCTTGCTCATCAAAATAACCTAATAACTATTAGCAATCTTCATGTTTTTCTTTTATATACAACCTACAACTTTTCAAGTCTTCAGTTAACCATTTCCTAGTATTTTTACTTATTCTCTATATAAAGTAACTCATAACTTAATAGTGGTTGCTTGCAATCTTAAATTAGAGTTAAAAATATATAAATATATGCCAGTATTTAATAAATAGTAAATGTAAGCATAAAGTTATAGTATATAAAGTATTATAAAATATTTTCTAGGCCCGACTATCAACCCCTGCTAAATCTTATAGTTTAGCCGGGGCGGAGGCCGGGTTTGAAAAAAGTCTCATTTTTAGCCGGGGCGTGGCCCTGGTCACTTACTAATGGTAAATATAATTTCTTAGTCAATTAGTATAAGTAGTGCATATAAGCATCTAAGTATATCTATAGCTATAAGGTACTAAAAGTGAAAACATGTAATTATATAAAAAATTCTTCCCATACTGTTAACATGGCTAAAATAAAAACTATTTGGTCATAAGCTTTTGATAATAACTATAAAGCTCAATTTTCATTTATATGATAATATATGATATAGCGAAAAAGATGTAACTATTTGGTCATAAGCTTTTGATATTAACTATAAAGCTCAATTTCATTTAAAATTGTATAAAGTAAAATTTAGTAAATAACTGACTACACAATAATAAATTATCTGTGTAAACCACCTGCTAGTTGGATTACACAAATTAGTGTTCTATTAATACCCTAATAGTGCCTTTTTTTGTCTTTCTTTGCATATTTCATAGTTTAAAGGAGATTTTGCTCTTCAACACCTGCAGAAAATGACTTGTAACAATTTCTACTTTTATGACAAGTGGAAGTTGTAAATTATATTATTGGTTAAAAATTTTTTTTTTTTAGATCCTGCTCCATTGGATTTGTGTAAGTTATTCATTGAAAAAAGTTTGGCAGTAGCAACATCAGCCTCTCTTGCACAAGTATGTATATTATAATAATTAGAACTTTAAAAGATTTTAAATATATTCAATAGAAGTTTTTTGTCAGATCTTGGAGTGACAATTACACAAGTTTAAAAAAGTAGTTTTTCTCATTATTATACAATTATATTCTTCCATATCAAATAAATATCAAATAAATATACTACTTAATGATTTTTTGCAGACAAGATCTTTGGTTATTTGAAAAATTATGAAACAAAAAAAGTGTCAAGAACTGTCTGTTAAAACTTTTAATTCACCACTATCCAAGTTTTTAGAAGACTGACCATATTTTTAATAGAATGTTTGATCAAAGAGTTCATATTCACTTTTTTTTTTTTTTTTACCAGCAATGTGAACATGTGACATTTTAAGATCTTCAGAGAAAATTTCAAATCTTGCAATTTATAAAAATTTCTTCTAGAGTCTTCAGACATTTTGTATTGACATAATTTATATGCAGATTCCATATTAAAGTTTTCAATGTCTACATTTAATTTCAAAAGTAAAGCAGCATGTTTTAAATAAAACTTTTCAATGACCTGTTGAATACTCAAAAAATAGTTACATTCATAACCTTGAAAAAAGACACTATATTCTTTTTTTTAGGTGATGTGATGTAAATTGACCAATAAGAACATAATTTTGATAGCTACTTTGAACAGTGACCATGTTAGTAATTGTAGAAAAGAGAAAAAGATGCAACCTTATGATGATCAAATAGAGCTACCTTATATGTAAGATTGTCAGAAAGATTATTTCTGTATATAAAAAACAATCCAAGACCAAAGATAGAGCTTTGAGGAATGTTGTCTGGACCACAAGCCATATAATAGTTTAATTGAGAAATGACTTTAGCAACAAAAAGTTGAGTGATTTAGATGTCTTACAATTGGTTAACCTGTTTAACTGAAAAGGCTAGAAGAGTAAGGTCATTAGATTCAAGAGTTTAATTAGTAGAAAAATTCTTTGCAAAAAGTTCTGTCTTATACTTGGGAGAGTAATAAGATCAGTACTATGAATTAGTGATGGAGTGTTAGACTTTTTTTAATGACACTTTTAAAGATTATAGTGGTATTTTTTTAATGACACTATTGAAGATTTTCCAAAAGTCTCTAGAGCCAAACTTCTGTGGTAAGTGATATGAGACTTAAGATATGAGACTTAAGATATGAGACTTAAGATATGAGACTTAAGATATGAGACTTAAGATATGAGACTTAAGATATGAGACTTAGTAAACTGGAAATAATGAAGCATCAGACAGCTACTATTTACATTGATTTCTAGCGATAATAAAAAAGAGTTTTTTCTCAAGAGAAAAAACACTTTTTTATGTTTTTTTGGCAGTATAATAAAATGGTTTTGATTAGATATAGCAGCTGTCCAATAAGGACAGCTGCTATATCTAATATATTTTTAAAACCATGGAGTAGAATGAGGTTTGACTTGAAACTGACAAAAAGAAATAAAAGCTTCCATTCCTGCCTGGATCCAGGAGGTTATGTAGGAGGCACATTTTTTAGTTGAAAAAAATGTCAGTCCAAAAACCATCACAAAGAAGTAGTAGTTAGTAGTGCAATGATGTGTATTTGAAAAAGATGTACGAGATAAAAGTTTTTTATTTAAAAACTTTGGCAAATAAAATTCGCTAAATGGTCACACACGAGCAGTGAACACCTAAGGAAAGAAATGAAGTACATTAGAATAAAAAAGAATTATTTTTCAAACAAAGCATATTTTTACAGTTGTCAAGACAAAATAAAGATTAATAGAGGAATATTTAAAAATAAATAAGACAGTTAATGCCCCTAAAACAGTACTTAACAATAATAATAATAATAAAATTAAAAAAAAAAAAAAATTGTTTTATAAACACTAATATGAACAAAGATATAAAACAAATATATCACCTGACAAAAAATTTATAAAACAAAAAATTGATTACAAAATAAAAAATGCTAACACTAATGGAAGGCCTCAGAATTAAAAAAAAAACATTAATGCTAATGTTTAAACATAATTTGTGTAGTTAAGTAATAAACATCTCCTTAGAGTCGCGTCTATTATTACTGGCGTTTTGATGAGGATCAGCATTTATTTAATGTTTGAGGATGCATGTTTTTCCTTGTTATTTTGTTATGGTCTCAAAATTACATTTCTATGTAATTTTGAGACCATAACAATTGTAACATCATATATTGTTGTTTGTCTGTATTTAACAGTTGAGAAAGATGTCAGCCCAAAATTCATCACAAAGAAGTAGTAGTTAGTAGTGATAGGGTGTATTTGAAAAAGATGTACGAGATATAAGTTTTTTAAAGATCATTGATTGGAACCACGTAAACAAAGAGAAACTTAACACAATGATTACCTTTTTTTTTAATATAAATGCATCTGATAAATGTCAATGTTTTTTTTAAATATGTATTGACACACACTGTAACTGTTTCAAAGTTTAGAGGCCTATCACAGATAACAGTATGATTAGTAACAACTAAATTAGAGTTTGGAACAGCTATTATCCATTTTTCACGTTAATTATCATTAGGAAATCAATACACTGATTTTTTACTAGCTTCACTGTACATGTTGTTTTAACTTTGATAATTAGTGTGACAAGCATACAGTTTGATTTATTTGGAAAAATAATTCTTTTTAGCTGTAAAGAAATTGGTGCCTACAAAAATACTTTGTTTGTGTGATGAATAGGCATATAGTAGAAAACTAATTCACTAAAACTTTAGTTATTTTTTATTTTTAACTTGAATGGAAAGGCCTTTAGATTTTCTGCCGCTGTATGGTAAAAAATGATAAGTTTATTTGACTCTAAAGAAAAAAATACTGTCATCGAAAGAAAATCTATAAATCTAAGGCTTGACTTGATTAAGCCAGTTAAAATTTAAATGTCTGCTCAATTTGTTGTGACATATTTAATGAATGGTCTCCTAGAGATTCTAGATTATTATATAACCAAACAGTATTTCTTGACTTGTTAGTCTTGAAAGTTCAATTATTGTTAAAGTTTAAAAAATGAAAACATATCAAATTAACATAATAACGTATTTAACAATTAAGTTTTCAAAATTTTATTTAATAACATTTACATTATTTCATTATTTTTATTTATTTAATTAAGTTACATGAATAATAATAAAAGTAAATTTTTTTTTATTTAAATAATAAATTTTATTAAATTCTAATATTTATAAATATTTCTGTATATATTTGATTTTTAAAAATATTTGTAAATTACATAAATAGCTAAAAACCAGTCACACCCAAAATAATAAAAAACCACAAAAAAATAAAAACAACATGTCATACCACATACACAAACAATAGAAACAAATTAAATTACACTTCTTTTTTTTTATTAAGTATTTTTATTTTCAGGGGGCTACAGAAGATGCACTTAAGGTGTATGAAACACAAAGAATTTGGCAACCGTTGTGTATTGCTATGACTATTGTATCACATTTGAAATGGGATCTTGACATAATTCAGAAAAGGTAAACTTTATAATGTACTATAAATGGCTTGTTTTGTAAGTGAGAGATTTGAAGTTCAAATCCCATCAAATCTATGTTAGCTGTAATAGTAGTTTTTTTTTTGCTGTAACTGGAAAACCAGTGAGTATGTCTTGCATACTATGACGGCTTGTTTCTCCTTTCTAAATGCTCTAAATTGTTAATTGTTAAATCTATTTTAGCTTTGAATTTATCAATGTTTTTGCTTTAGCTGTTTCTTTGTTAAAATTGTTCTATATATTTACTGATCTGTTTGTTAGAAAATTGTGTTTTGGATTGCATCTTGTTATTTTTCTTGAATATCTCATATCATTTTCTTGTGTTCTACTGCTATTTAAGAATACTGATTTTATCAAGAGTTTTAATTTTTCATATTTATTAAAAATCTTGAATAATTGCGTTAGACATCTTTTTTTTTTATAGTATAGTAACCTTACTGGTGCTGCAAGTATTATTACCATACTGGTGCTGCAAGTTCTATTACTGGTCTGATTGTTGAACTGTTTTTAATTCTTCTTTTCTCCCAATACTTTTACTATTATTAAGGTATCATCCACATATACTTTTATTTGGTTTTTCATAAGTGGACTTTGCTCTGACAAATCTGACAAAAAGTCATGTTGACTTTCATATACTAGATTATTTGAATATAGATGTTTTTAAAATTGTCTTAAAATTGTTCTTTCAAGTATTTTGCATGTAATAGATGTTAACAATACTGGTCTGTAATTACTGGATTTAAATTTATACATATGTTTGCTGATAACCATCCTTTTAGAAGTTCACTAGTCTTAATTGATTTTTTGAATATTAGTGTTATAGGCACAACTATTTCTTGAGCATGGATTATGTCTGAAAACTGGCTCTATCTAAGTCATTTTTGCTGATGTTTACTTATTGGTTAGTCATTTTATCAAAAACCGGTTGCTCATCATCATATAAATAAACTGCAAAATTGTTCTTTTAGTATTTCAGAGATTTTTGTTGAATCATTTGTTGTTCTTAATTTGCCCTTTGAATTTTTTGCTCTTATTGATGTTTTTAACTTCTTTTTTTTTGACTATTTGCTTACCTAAAAAAAACTTTCACATTATTTTAAGTTTTTTTAACTAATTTCTTTTCAAAATAAATTTGAGTTTGTTTGGGATTTGCTGTTACTTGTTTTTAATTTGGTTATATTCTTTAACTGAAGTTCTGTTTAGCCATTTTGTTGCACAGTTTGCAACCTCAATTTTTTTTTTCTGATTACTTGTTTTAATTCAAAGTTTATCTATGGTGTACTTTTTTATTTTTCCTGTTTTTTTTATTGTTCCTTTAATTTTAATATAAACTTATAGTTTAAGTTAATGATGAAATACTGACGCCAGGATTATGGTTGGGACTGCCTAAACTT